TTATCTCATCTAATGTTCTTGGCTTGAGCCCAGTTCTTACGAAATCTCCCATTGAGACAGAATAAACACCAAACATAAAGCCACACATAACCCTAATGGATAACATATAATGTCTTAACTTACTGCTTATATGAATATTTCTGATGACGGCGACAGCTGATGATGTGATCTGACAGCTGTCAGTGGGCTTTACATGTGAACCGACCTGTTGGTGGCATTTGCGCGTTGCAACATGTGAACCGTATACTAACATAACAGCATTCGTCTGCAGAGCAACAGCCTGTTACCTGTTTAACACACACCTGCACATGCACAACAACCCGCACTATAGTGATGAGCAGATCGCAGTTAAAACCGCAGCACTGAGATCGATCTGACAGGCTGGTTATTAGAATTATAATAACATTCTGATTAATAGTAGATTGAGATGGATGGATGGAGGCTGAATTAGGGAGACGTTTCTCCCCATTAAGAGAGATGCTGTGCACATTTACATTAATGAATGTTATTTGTTATTTTACAGCTCCAGAAGTTCCCACACACAGTCCAGGTTCATGCAGGGAGATTGTTCAGAGTAAAACAGCCTCCTAATGAATCCTCTGTTTCCTCTGAAGAGTTTCTCTGTCAACTTTATAACAATTCTTCAGTTGTGCTGCTTAATGATATCTGCTGCAGGACATAACTGTGCCCATGGAAACGATTAAAATGACTGAAAGCATCCTCTCTCATTATTACAGTAAATTAAGACAACACTAATAGGATACATCCATACAACAAAAAATGTTTATATTATTTGTTCATTACGTGCATGTGTATTTATTGATATTTTGATTGTAAACTCATTATTGAATAACCCAGACTGTGGTGTCCTTTGAACATCGGAAAATATTGATTAGGCTAAATGTTCCAGAGAAAATTGAAATGATGTGATCTAACCTGACTCAGGAATTATCAGCCTCATGTGACTGAATGGAAATTACAATAAATGACATAAAAAAGTGTTTCTTTCAATCATCATATTGAATCATGTTAAACGGCGCTGAGTCTGATCAACTGCAGTGTCCAATCAATAACTGATATCCAATAAAAGGCCTCATCGGTTGGCAAAAGACTCCCGTGAAGACTCCTCCTGTGTATCCTCGCTCATAGCTCCTCAGAAATCGCTTTTTGATCCTTTCTTCCACTAGAACAACTTCTGGTTCAAGCGAGGAGCGAAGAAGTTTGTTCTTGTTCTTTTATTCAATGCTTCTCAGCCGAGGAGGCCTTTAAGCAGAGTTGGAGTCTTTTTGCTTTGGTACAGATCAGAGAATAAGTTATTTCATTGCACTTACCCTTTGGGTGGGTCAAGTTTCATACATTAAAGTTCAACACACAATCATTTAAAACCTCCTTCGAGCAGTCACTTCACTTCTAAGGGCTTGGGTGTGGAAAAACATCAGCAAACCTGTTAACTCATGTATTAACTTATATATTGCTCCTTGTTTAAGGTCAAATCAGCTTTGGATAACATTTTCACTTCAGTGCTAGAAGCAGCTTCAACCAAAAGGCCTATAATGCTAAGCACTCATTTCAGTCCATTGTGCAAATGAACTTAAAGAGTCTATGATCAGCTTGTGACAGATTACAATTTACCAACTTTTTTTCAAAGTTATTATTACTTCAATTGTTGCATTGTCTAACATCTGGTGTTTTACAGTCAGTCGCCAAACAACAATCTTTATCATACAGGAAAAAGATTGTTGGAATTTCATCATTCCATCATCAATGTGAACTCAAAATAGGTTTTAAGTCATAATTTTAAAATGAACTGCCAGATTCCAGATTTCATACACGTTGACTGGGTTACAATAAGTAAACAATAACTAGCACAGTACGGACTTTCCACTTTCGTCTCATCCATTCTGCCTTTCACTTCCTGCTTCACTCTGAATTTGGTGTGATTGTGATCCTCTGAGTGAGTTTCACCTACAGCTCATAAAGAGGCGTCACATCTAAAAATCATCTTTCAACATTTTGTATAGCTAATACCCCATAAGAATCTATCTTTATATAGTAATCAAATATGTGTGTATATATCCAATCATACATATGTATCATCAAAATAGTGATCATTTCCAATTGTAGCTATTGTATTTACAGGCTGAGGAATATATGCTTAAACAACAAGGTGGTAAATAAAAAAGAAAATGTTAATTTATATATATATATATATATATATATATTTATATATACAGTATATTGTATATATACATACGATGATACATATGCTGTAGCTTCGTTCCATTCACACTATTAGTATTTCAAAAATGTGTTACAGCAGACACACAAAACATAAACACAGTACACAGGACCAAGGCTCTGGGGCTGTCACACTTCATATCATGTTATAATTGTAATATAAGGCTAACATAATGTAAACTACTGCTTTTTAATTATTTAGTTTTCTATGATTAAACTTCCTGGCCTAAGTAAAGTTCCTTCTGTGAATTAAAGATGGCTACCTGGAGTATCCCTTCTCTTGTTCTTATCATATAATCATGCTCGTCATATCAACAGGTACAAGATCAGCTATTATTTCCATTCCCCAGAACTGCTTATCTTAATTTCTGTGGAAAAACTTCCACTTTCAATTCCATTGAAAAAGTTATGTCTGCTCTAAATCAGAAGAGAGAGAAGAAGATTGTGATTGTTGGATAGGTTTACGTAAAAGCACTATGGTTAAGGTGAATGCCTATTTTGACAGAAAACAAATGAAATACAGCATCAATGAACATTTAACTGATATGTTAAGTGTCAAGATTTTTGTGACTTCCTGTTAATGAACAGCATTTCCTGATGATGTTAATAGATGCTCGAGCTTGTTAAACATCCAACAGATAATGTCTCTCTCTGTTTCTCTGCAAAATGCTAAAATGAGTCGTTAATATACCGGGTTGGGCCGCCCACCCAAGTAAATGTGTCAATGAGTGAATAACTTTCTTGTGGAATAAAATAAATGCATCAGCTGATCTAGTCTTCTGATTAGCGTTTCTAATCAAACTAATTAGAGCAATGGCTGATCAAGTACAATTAAAAAATTATTATGATAATAATCTTGCAGGCCAGATTACATTATATTTTTGACATCATGTTGTGGACCGGAGGGATGGTGTTGATGGGCCCGAAATGGCCTGTGAGCCATCAGTTGAGATCCCTGTCTTAAGTTTGATAATGGTTCACTTCAGCATGAGGATTTGAGTGACTTTGGCAAGGGCCACATTGAGATGGATGACGGTCAGAGCATCTCCAAACCTGCAGCTCTTGTGGGGTGTTGCCGGTCTGCAGAGGTCAGTACCTATCAAAAGGAAGGAAAACAAACGGAGACATGGTCTTGAGGTGGTTCTCATAGAAAGGTGTCAGAACACACCGTCATTGGCGTTGTCTTTGTTAAACGGCTGTTAAAATATATATATTTATATTCAAAACTGTAAATGATCACATATATATCACAAACACTCACCAACTAGTCGACTAATGGCTTGATATAACAACTAGTTGACTAGGAAAATCTTCAGGCCGGTCATAAATCCAGACAGCCCTACAAAGTACATTGCACCTTAATGAGACCACAGTGCCAATCAACAAAGATCTTTGTGCTTTCACTCTCCAACGAAGACAGAGAGGATCAAGTGTTACATATGGAGAGTAAACATGGCAGCTCCTCTACCTCTGAATTTGTGTTGAAATTGGTTTGGTGGAAATCATCCGTAGTCACAATTACTTAATAGAAAGATTATGGAAGTGCTGTAGTGCCAACACAAAGTCACATAATCTATATAAACAATATCTACACCTTCATATATCTACACTATCTTCTTGTTTTCAGCCCCCATACAGTTAAGTCCAACATGAATGACTGCACAGATAAGTTTGTTTTGTCTTGCCTGTTTATGCATGAGTGCAAGTATGTGAAGGTTTGTGATTGTTTTTAAAAGATATTGGCTACTTGCTAAGATGCAGACCCTGTGATAACCCCTTTAGTCATAGTTTCTTAGTCATCACTTTTTCCCCACACGATGGTCTATGGCTGCAATGTTTGCTCACAAACTGTAACCTATATAGTGCAGACAGAGCTCTACAGCACTTAGTGGGGATGTTTATTTTCACAGGATGCCAGAATACGCAAAGACCATGCCAATGAGGATACAGAAAATTGCATAAAATGGATAAAGGTAAACCAAGATAATACACAGTAGGAGGATTTAGGGATGAAGGACGAGGGAAGTAGTGTAAGGGTTGGGAGTCGAGGGGATGAAGAGGTATGTTGTCCCCTTCAAAGTGACCTTAGGCCAAGATACTGAACTCCTTTTTAAAAGAATAAATGAATAAAAGACTAGTAGATTAGTAGAAAAATCTTATAAGATATTTGATACAATCCAGAAACCCAACCATGGACATACTATTGTATGTTGCACCAGAAAATATAAAACATAGTTCAATATAAATAAAATGTTTCATACACATGTGAATTATAGAAGCCAGGGGTGGTAGTAAATGAACAGTTCTCCTCACCAACATCCAGAGTAAACATGTTTTGTTTCATTTCATTTCACTTCAGTTATTAACAATTTGGTATGTTGAGACGTGTTACATAAAAAAAAGGTTGTTCACATCTGGAGGGGTGTCACAGGAGGAGTCAGCAGAAGATATAAGTAATCTCGCACCATCACAATACATCAGCCTGACCGCTCTACTTGGAAGACTTGCAAACAGCTCAAGTGATCTCCACAACTTCACCAGGTGAGGACAAACTGGGCGGGCAGAGACAGAAGATGACAAAAATAGAAACATCTTCAGACTTTTATTGAAGAAGTTTGACTGGTGTCTACAGTAAAATACTGCATTTCTATGCACAGTCTGTTGTCTTGTCTGTTTCTGTGAAAACGGAGAGTAGTATTATAATATATAAAAATTCATACTACAGATACAAATTTAAATTAAGTATTTCTCAACAGATTGGAGAAATGGCTTCAAATATCACGGTGGTTGCCGCTCTGGGTCGACCTTTCACCCTAGGAATGCTCTATGATGCGCGGAAAGATGAACTGATTCCAGGTAAGTCTAGATATAGACTACATTATTATTAAAGACATATTATTGTCATGGCTATGCTCACAGGAACTTTAAAAATGATTTCATAAAGTGGTAATACTATCTTAAACTAACCTATTTAACATTCATACGCAGTGTTAGGAGAATTTGCAAAAGCTTTGTATTTATATAATGTAGTTCAGTCAGACAACTCACGTTTGAAATGTTTATTCCAGCAGTATAGCATAGTTACTTTTTGGCATCTACCAGGCTGGAAGGGTGCGCTTGGTTGGTGATTATGGAGTGAGGCATGTGTGTATAGCAGTGCATCTCAAGTTGACGGCCTGAACTAGCTCGCAGGCTTCGCTCCATTTATGACCATATATTAGTTAACAATTTAGGGATGTTGACGTATTAGTTGCCGATATGTTATGCTGTGATAATTAAGAAATTTGAACTGTCATGGTCACATTATATCTGTGAAACCATTTTACAGCCTGTAAAAGCTGTAAAACCCTATAGGGTTGGCCTGTGAAACCAGTTTCTAAATGGGGATTGGTTCTAAATGAGTGAAAACACATATTTTTAAAAGGAACCTTTAATACTTTCCCTTATTTTCTGTGATATACATAACATTACAATGTTGGATCTCATATTAAATGAGGCCAAAGATTCAAATGAGATAAATGTACAAAATGTATCAGGACGACCAGAAATTTTTTTTTCTGGCCCTCTGAAACACATTGTCTAAATATTATCTCTTGTTTTTCCCAATTTAACCCAATACTTGTTTAATTTAAGGTCTGATAAACAGTAAATTCATCAAGATCAGCGCCCAATATCGCCATTTTCTAAGTTACTATAGCTGTATGGTTTTACTCAAGTTATTAAATGTATTGTGTTTTCAAAAAAGTAAAATAAGTAACTATTTTCAAATATTTTCAAATCCTTACCTTTAAGGACATTTTATTGTTGTGTGGTTACACAATTACATTGAGATTGTATCATTTTACTCAATCATATAATTCCTTAATTACTTAGGTTTGTGTGAAAGTTAAGAACTGTTCAAGGACCTACCGGCAGGATAAGAAGCTGCAGAGAACTAGAAACGATTCTGCATTGTGTGACTTTAGATTAACAAAATGATTCCTGCTTTATCAGATCTGATGAGACTGATCTTCTCCAATTTCTTTAGGTTTGACATTATGGGATGATAAAACTCTCCAAGACAACATAACGGAATTTGCTCATCCCAGCAGTAAATTTGAAATTTCTACATCTGACTCCCTTGAATCCAAGTCCTCTCTGCTGGATATTGATGCTTCTCTGAAGGCCAGTTTCATGGGTGGACTGATTGAAGTGGGAGGATCTGCCAAATTTCTGAATGATACGAAGAAATACATGAATCAGAGCAGAGTGACGTTTCAGTACAACGCTACCACCACCTTCAAGCAGTTGTCAATGTGTGAAAGTTGTACAATTGACCCTGGAACAATGGGCAAGCAAAAGATAGATATTATTCAAAAGGGCTTTGCAACACATGTAGTCACAGGCATCCTTTATGGGGCAGATGCTGTCTTTGTGTTTGACAGTGAGAAGTTAGATGTCAGCAAGGTTCGGAACATCCAGGGTGGCATGGAAGCTGTGATAAAGAAAATCCCCTCATTAGATATTCAGGGAAAAGTTGACATCAAGCTGACTGATCAAGAAAAAGACCTGACAAAGAACTTATCCTGCAAATTCTACGGAGACTTCATTCTTGAAAGAAACCCTGGAACATTTGAAGAGGCAGTAGAGACCTATGCAGAACTACCAAAACTACTAAAGGAAAGGAAAGAGAATGCTGTTCCACTGAAGGTCTGGCTGATGCCACTAAAACATTTTGACAGTAGTGCTGCTAAGTTGGAGAAAGAGATCAGCGTTGAACTAGTGAGGAAGGTGCAGTATGCTCTAGAAGATTTAAAGCAAATAAAAATGAGATGCAACGATTGTCTGGTCGACAGAATTGTAGAGAATTTTCCACACATTCAAGAAGAGTTAAGCAGATTCCAAAAACTGTGTAATCATTATGAATCTGACCTCAAGCAGACCTTGGCGAAAGACCTTCCCTCCATCCGTGAAGGTAAAGAAGAAGAAGAGAGCTCAAAAGTTCAAAAACTTTTTGAAGACAGAGAGAAGTCACCATTGAGTAATGAAAAACTAAACAGCTGGCTGGATCATAAAGAGAGAGAGATCAACATCATCAGGTCCTGTGTAGAAATGATGCAGGGAGCAAAGATCGTCCAAACTCAGTCAGAGCTGGACAGAGAGGTTCTTGCTCCAGGTGTAGAGGATGCTCTGTGCTTTGTTTTCACCTCTATGGAAAGGGGGGATACCTTTCTTGATGTGATGGCTGACTACTTGAAGTCACCTAAATTAGGAAGTACCGATGAAGACCAGTGGTACTACTCAGATGAAGTTTTAATCAAAATGAGAGAGAAAGCCAAACTTATAGATTCATTCGCAAAAGCACTCAAGAACAACAGTCGGTTCTGTTTTCTCGTAGCAGCTGCAGCAAATAAGAAATACACCGGAGCAACCATCTATCATTACAAAGACGGCATTCTGGCCACTGATGGTTTTACAAAGTGTGACATCCCTGATGTTGAGACTGTCACGGACAGAAGAGATTTGATCTGGTGTAAGTCATTTTCCATGCTTTTTGAGTCACAAATATAATAATGTATTAAGTAATCCAGAAACCTGTTTGACTCTCACAATGACTAATAACACATTTTGGTTTGATTTCTCCATCAGATGCCTGTGATCTCACCCTGGACCCAAACACGGCAAACAACTACCTCACTCTGTCTGAGGGAAACAAAAAGGCAAAATATGGAACATGGCAGACATACCCTGATTACCCAGAAAGGTTTGATAAACTTCCTCAGGTGTTGTGCAGAGAGAGGTTAACTGGGTGTCATTACTGGGAGGTAGAGTGGAGTAATGGTTATTATGATGATGTTGGTGTAGGTGTTACATACCAAAGAATTGGCAGGGAAGGAGGGGATGCATTGAGCGAGCTTGGACAAAATGACATATCCTGGTATTTTGGCCACAGTTACGGGCTTCATGCATGGCATAATGGTAAGAAGTGTTGTGGCCCTCTTCCCTATGCTGACTGCAACAGAGTTGGCATGTTTCTTGACTGGCCTGCTGGCACTCTGTCCTTCTACCGCGTTTCTTCTAACACGCTGAGTCACCTCCACACCTTTCACACCAAATTCACTGAGCCTGTTTACCCAGGCTTCCATGTTAAAAAACAAGACCATTATGTGTACCTGCATCTAGCCGAATAAGAGCAATGACAAATACTTGTTAGATCTTGGTCTGTAGGGATATGGGTTTTGATTTAAACTTTGAAGTGCTACTTAACACGCAATTTTAGCTTGAACTTTGAACATGTGTCCTTTCACAAATTCAATTCATTTAAACCCAGAGGGATCAGGATCATTGGTTTTAATAAGGTAATGTACATGTAATTTCTATGTATTAGTTCATGATGATTCTATGTATGGCCTTCTTCTCAGGCTGGTTTGTGCTTCACAACTTTACAATCAGTTTGCATTGCTTGATATGTCAATGATATGTTTTTAATTGTAACTTTCTATTCTAATTCCTGAAACTAAAAGATATGATCTTATACTGATAAAAAATGCTTTGTTAACACTAATATGTTGAAACAGATGCTAATACTACTTGTATAATGTTGATTAACTGGTTTTATTGAATGTGAGATGTTGATTATGTTAGGGCATAAGGATTCTAAAATGCAAATATTTGAATTAAGCATTTGTTCCTTTTCTACTTCGTGCAGCATCTTAAATAGTTATCTTTTTGGGATAGAAGAGCAATCTTTTGGTTTTGTTTTTGTCAAGAGTGTATCTGAACCCTGAGCTAGGGTTCAAATAATGGCTTTACTGCTCTGAGGAGGGAATCACTGTCACCATTTTGTTAGATGTTAAGTACACTGCTGAAGTTTATAGAGCTGAAGCAATGTCAGATTCCTGTGAAACTGCAACACCTGTTGGAAATGTTGAGCAGAATATTCAATAAAGTAGGGAGTTGAGTTTACCACTGTGTGCTACTTTGTTATTTCCTGTAGATTTAAAAGTTGACTGTACCAAAGGTTATAAGCTCATTTATGAACATATGTCAATGCAAAAAAAAACAACTACAACCCCCAATCAGCATAGCATCGGTGTGTGAATGTGTATGAATGAGTTAGTTTCTGTTCGATGGGACTTTGCCATCACTGAGTGAATGTGTTGTGTGGAAAGGGTGAATGTGCACGTAGTTGTACAAAGCCGCTTGAGTGGTCGGAAGGACAGAAAGGCGCTATACAAGTAAAACACGGGGTTTTCCATTTACATTTTTACCAATATTCCATCCTCAGAGGACAATATAATAACTTTTCCTTCTTCACAATATTCGTAATAACACAGAGGAAACGTTATATTTTGCTCCCACATGGATGTCTAAACATGATGGACTCAGAAAGTGGAAGCTAGTTAGCCAAGCTTGCTAATGTAAGTACTGATTCACCCTCCATGTTACTTTTTGTTCATGCTGTTCAACAGTCATCAGCAGCTCCTGTGTTCATCTCACATTATACATATTACTATATATTGTATTATATGCTATTATATTGATCACTATCCTACTTTACTTAGGAATATAGGGAAATTGTACCATAGGTTGTTTTTTCGTACAAATTGGCTATTATGTAACCATACATAATAAACATGAATGTTCACTAACTTAGGGTATGACTATTACTATATATAATTTTCTAATTCCAATGTATTGTATATGTTTTCCTTATTCTTTACCTTCCCCTGCTTGTTGTACCTGCATATGGTTTTCTAAATGTAATTTATAACTCAGTGTCAGTTGTGTGGTTTCATTTCTGCTTACATTATTGCTCTACAGTATACAAAGGTTTCAAATACTACTTTTCTCCACCTTTTCTCCACTATTATAACAGGGATGGCTGTATAAAAAGATACAAATAAATACCCCAATTTCCATTCCAAATATCTTATGAAAATACAGTTTTAATCTTTAATTGGTTAAAGTGAATAATTAAGTTAGTGAGTGTTTGACATTTTCAAAATTATATCATATTTTTTATATTCAATATTTTTTTTTGTAATTACAGCTTATGTCACGACAAGGGGGCTGCCATTTTGACTTTGCTAAATAGGAAACTTTTTATTCCTGCATTGCACTGAGGATCCACTAGAGGGAAGTTTACAAGTGATTGAAGATCTACCTCCACAATCACTTAGTGTCAGTATAGTTCAAGAGTTAAAATTACCAACTGGACAGAGGAGTTTCATGTTTTGCAGGTAATGCTGATACACCAACATGGCAACCATGACCAGACAAGTCTTATACAAGTCCTCTAATGACAGTATTTTGTATAGTTTGTCATATTGTTGAGATAATTATTTCAATTACACACACACTCATTGATTCTTTGACTTCATAGTCTACATGTTTACACAGAAGACAGGTCTTTGGATGCATGTCTTTATGTATTTCTTCTGATCTTCAGATTTTGATCTTTGTTTTCCCACCATAAACTGGGCTCAGACTACAACAATTTGGGGCCAACCTCTGATTCACCCCTCCCAACAACTGGAGAAAAAATCTAGTCAGGGACCTTGGTCTGTACCAGTGTTCTACCCAGATTATCCTGTATTGTGAGGGCTCTACAGATGATTACGTCTGTACCAAAGTAATACATTAGTAAACCTTTTTTGAGACTATGTGTAAAGGAAATACTGCTGTTAAAAAGAAACTTATTTGTGCAAAGTGTAAAGTTGTGTATAAGTGCAAACCAAATGTTATTACACTTTTGTTTATATAGCAGTACTTTTCAAATAAAAGTGCGCAATACACTACTTTTGAATTCGATTACTGAATTTTAAAAATTTAATTAAAAATGTAAACCTTTGCCCAGCACTAGTATTAATGAATAATAACATTCTTTGTTAGTGAAGTAAATTCACAAGTAATCTGTGGTAAAGTTCAGGTTGACTTGCATATCATTTTTAGCTTTGTCAAGTCAAGTCTGAAGTCATCAAATTTGACTCAAGTCACACGACTTGGACTCGAGAAGGTTTATAGCTAGTATCCATCACTGCACTGTCAACTGCAACAATAGCATCCGCAGTTGCATCAATGGCTACATTGTGGTGGAATCCCTGTAGGGAAATTCGTTCTCTTGATTTGACTAATCCTACACCTCAGTTCAAACTACCAAGCTGAGCAGCATGTGTGTGCGGTAGAACATCTTGCTTTTTATGTCGGCATCCATGTTAACAGATTGGAGCAGTCACACTGCCTGAGTTGCATGTGTCATGTGCACCTCATGCACATCTCAGCTGCAGCAACGCAGCATATGTGTTTGGAGCATAGGGCATATTGTGGTAAGGCTAGGCACTCGTGGTGAGATGTCCACTCTTGATGCATGTGAGTAAAAGCACTGGGACACATCTGTAGAATGCACCTTTTACTGTAAGGATTGCTGTGTTTCACTCAAGGTGAATAAGAGGTAGCACCCCTCTCCTCAGTGTAGTCTGCCTCTCCATAAGTGGCCTGAGCTCATGCTCCTTAGTTTTGGTTACTTTAGGTTGGATTCATTATTTTAGATATTGTATTAGGTCTTTTTTATTTACAGTAATTGTAATAATGTATTTTTAATCACATTGTGCATTGTAGATCTTTTTTTCTTTGCTTCTTAAACATCTTTCTTTTTCAGCAGCTCCAGTCACTGCTTTTGTTTTTAATATTTCAATAAAACATTTGGTTAATTGGGTTAGGGTTAGGGTTAGGGTTACCTAACCTTACTGCAGCAGCCCAGGGTTGGAATCCGACCTGT